TCACTTTTCGCCATCATCATGTCTCCTGTCATCACTAACATTTAAAACAGGTCTCTGTCTGAATGTTCGTTACCGATTGACTGGAAATGTTCGGTGGTGAAACCTATTCCGAAAGGCGGCGACTCTATCAGTGTAGACAACTACAGGCCATTTTGTCTGACAGTTGTTTTGGCAAAGGTTGCCGAGAATATCGTGAAGAAGGGATTGATACTTTTGCTACGAGCAAAAGAGATCCCGACGCCCACACATCACGGTTTTATGCAAGGCCACTCATGCATTACAGACTTGCTTTGACGAGGCATTAGTGGTTGAAGGCAATAAGCAAGGGGAAGTCTGTCGACGTGTATTCATCGATTTCATTAAAGCTTTCGACAAGGTCAGCCATGAGGTCCTCCTTCACAAACTCAGGATGTGCGCTGTCGGTGACTCACTGCACCGGTGGATCGGCGACTGTCTTGTTGGACGAAAGTGGAGGATGCAGGTCGATGACCATTTAACTGACTGGTATGCCTCTACAAATGGTTTGCATCAAAGCACTGGGCTGGGGCCCACTCCGTTCTTGATCCGCATCAACGATCTACCCCAGCTTCTCCGGTTGATTTGTGCCTCGTTTGCGGACGAGATGTGGGTTTGTATAGAAATCTACAGTCCTGATGAATGTTGCCTATTTCTGCGAGACCTCCAACGCCTATCCACATTGTCTACAGAATCTCGTCTCTCGGGAAACCGAGCCAAGTCTGTATTTATCAGCCTGGTAAGGGGTGCTGACGGCAGAACCTACACCCTTGACAGCAAGCCGCTATAGCCCACACCCTCCGTGAAGGACTTAGGTGTACTCTCACGTTGCGATTTGAAGTCCGTGGACAACACGAACAGGCAATATCGTAACGGAATGCGCGTGCCTTGGGTCCTCAGACGCGGATACGGCACATTTTCTGAAGAGGTTGTCACTCGCCACTTCTCTTCCATCATTAGACGAATGCTAGATTACAGTACGCCCGCCTACTTTTCCATTACTTGAGGCGAAGCACAAATGATCGAAAGGGTCCAACACGTTGCTACCAGGCTCATCCCGAGTTTAAGTGACTTGGGGTATGAAGACCGGTGCGAGAAAGTAAGACTTTACACCTTGTCCCACCTTGGGGTGCGAGCCGACCTCATTATGAACTACAGTATTCTACATCTCGGTGACTCCCTCATGCTGAGGCGCATGCTGCACTTAAGATGGCTATGCAGCACACGCGGACACAAATACAAACTTGTGGTGCCGGATGTGAAGCGAGTTCCCCACTCACTGTGCTTCGAAAGGAGAGTGGTAATATTTGAAACAGTTTACCTGAACATCTGATGCAGGCATCATCTGTGCAGCAGTTCAAAGTTTGTTAGATTTATATTTTACCACTATTCGATTCAGGAACGATTGCACAATCACGATGATAAATAATATTTTTGAGTCCTGCAATATCTTGAGACAGATATTTTAAATGTTGCATAAGCCCAACAACGATATTCACGGCTGACAACTTCCATAACTTTTTTCACCATATTTCGTAAGGTTTGTACAGAATTCATTTTATTGCTCTATAATACATTATTCAGTATTCGGTAAGTACAACAGCCTACTGTGCCTGGATGAAATGCATGCTTCGCCACTCGCATGAATCATTGCCAGAGGTAGATCAGTTGGGTTAAAATCCAAAGTTCATTTAGTCATAATTTGCGGTATACCCAGAACAAGTTTTATCTGCCCATATAACTAAGATGGAATTCCAGGAGTACCAGGAATTTCCTATCCACACTCTCGTTGCTTGCTGAAACGGACCATATGCTCACCACGTAAGTCAACACGTCCTACTACTTTCTTCCTGTTGCTAGCGAATTTTATCGGCGGTTTAGACTGCCGAGTGCCTTGCTTTCAGCGACCAGTTGGCAGCACTTTGCATCTGTTTGTGCGTTTGAGAACGGTGTAGAGATTTGTTTAGTCTCTAGGTCCGCCCCTGATCTACCATTCCGCAAAATGACGGAAAGAGTACGACTTAAGAGCATACTGTCCCGCGTCTTTGTACAAAGGATTGTTTGGACACAGCATGTGGCCAACAGACTCATTTCCCCTTTACCAGGTGTACCCTACGAAGACCGCTACAAGAGGTTAGGGGTTTACACGCCGTCTTATCGCCAGTGCCAGTCGACCTCATCAAGACGCAACGGACATCACACCTTGTTGATTACCCGATTTTGACGCCACTGCTCTATATGCGCACACCAAGCAGCATACGAGGATACCGGTACAAGCTTGCAGTATCGCATTTGAAGTGCTTTGTACACCAGCATTGTTTTGAACGACGAGTAGTGCGTATATAAAAATACTTACATTCACACATTTACAGCAAATTCCGTGTCGGGATTAAAATGATTCTTAGGCTAGCACTACGCCGGCATGGAATATAGGTAATGCTCCCCGTAATAATAGGTCACTGTACCTGAGGGGTTTTAGAGACAGTTACACCGAAACATCTTGCTGCTTCCGTATAGCATTCATTAAGTTCAGATCCTATCGAATTATATTTTACGGATTCAAAAGCAGATCTGAAGTAACTCTAAACTAGTTGCAAACCGGACTGCACTGAAGTTGCTCACATGTTCAGTGGTCTTGCTGTTGCTGTCAATGTAATGTGAAATGGTGAAAGTCTCCGACATTTACCGCACGTAATGACCCACCCTGGCTTGTGAAACGCAAGACTGTGTATGCCTGTTGCATGCAATGACGGGCACTGACGCGAATAGATTTGTCTGAAAAATCAATGCTCAGCGAAACTGAAGCATGTATGTGAACTACACTGCTTGATGATGGTAAAACAAGGGTATACCCATAATCAGTAATCTGTAGCCCTCTGGTGATTCAAGCTTAATCGCAGTGCTTTCTCAGAGCCAGTTCATGTCCTGAAGCATACAAGCCGATTTGCGGTGACCTAAAACTTGCTATGATCACTCACCAAGCATTGTGAGTGGACATTGGCCGACCAGGACTCCAGTGAAGTCTTCGGTTCACACAAGACCAAACGATCTCCACATTAATCAGCTTAGAGAAAGTGGGTGTAGCGCGCGACTCAAGCATTGCTAGTATTAGACTTACCCCGCAAACTGTTTAGGACCAATAACACTGAGCACCTCCCTTCGAAAGTAAAGTAGGTCAGGGAAAATCAATTGAACCAATGCTGTCGTTCTATTTATCACACATACAATTCTGGTGCAAAAGCTGGTATGCACGAATACTTCTGTGCATTGACGATAGTCGCATCTCACAGTTCCAGTATTTCATTAGAATAGTAAAATTAATGAAACTACTTGGCCACGGATTATTGGTTTTCAACTCAAAGCTTCCGACATTGTGTGCACAAAATCAATGGCAGCAGTCTATCAGATTGCTGCAGTAATAACTGCGCAACTAAGTAGCGCATGTATTTTCTTTCCATCTACGTTACTTTAGTTCCCGATTGCATTGCGTATGCGACTGAGGAGGGCGATTGTAGTGTTGACATGACAATCTTGTCCCCGATGACCACGTGAGTAAAAAGGGGACACAATGTTACCCCTTATCAAATCCCCTTGAAACTTCACGAGAGTCGGTGGATTGCTATAGATCCCCATTCCGTGGAAAAGCATGGAATTATGTCAATGGATATTCCTCTTATAGAAGGGAAACCCGCACATAACGTCAGCATGAAGTAGTCGCTGATTAAGTCGTGGAAACGCACGTCGCATATTATCTCAAGGTTAACAATAGCCCATTGAATTCAAGCACGTTGCGAGATAAGAGAAAAACACTATACATTCGCTTTGTGAAACGGAAAAAAGTTAAACAGCCAAATGTCAGGAACACTATTGTATTTTTAGGTTCGACGTAAATGGTGGACAGAAACGCATTCAAAGAAACATCAAATTGCCTAAGAATTTGGGATAACATTTATACCCATATCGCTACGCAGTAGAATATTTTGGAAAAGAACTTCGTATCTTTTGGAGATAATCGATAAACTAGGTTGCAAACTTTAACCTTTATCGACATCTGATCAACAAACTATGCCTGACACCGTAGCGTAAACGAATGGCTCTAACATATTACGGCTTGGCAAGATGACATAACATGGATGTGAAGTCAAGGGGAGAACTTTGGTTACGCAGCCAAATTGGAGTAACGATTGAAAGACGTGATATCCCTATTCCCAAACTCTCCACTTATTTCCAGACAGAATTTTAGACAAGCTTGTTCCGAACACTTGCATTATGAACCATTTTAGGTTTTTACTTCGCACCACTGGCAGAATCCTGACTTCTCGTTAAATATTGTACCCTTTACAGAGTGCAGACTGACGAAGTGCTAAGGTGTACCGTTTCTGCACGTTACCGGACGTCTTCCAGTTTCCGCTCATTGTTATTACGACTTCAAACCTACACCAATTTGATTATTGTACATAATTATAAGTATAGAACCACAGTACCAGGAGTTTACATCTATTTTTCTCCCCCCAAAACGTGTGTGCAGTGCAGCTCCACTAGCCTACATTTTTCAAATTTCGTCTCGTGCGATTCCTTTCTATGGGCTTCGTGTGGTCACTACAATACATAATTGTCTTAAAGTAGAATATTGTGGAGAAGTTGTGGAGAAGTTGAGAAATATTTGGCGACCGCCTGATGTTGAACTATATGAATTTGTAAGCTTTGTATGGAATCTGAATGCTGGGTACAGGTGAATGTTTAATCATATAAAGGCAGTCATATAGGGGGGTTTTCAATTTGCTCAAGATCCGCATATTTTCTACTGAAAAACACGTGAGATTCTATTAGCAAAACACAAGTGTTTGCAACAGAGGCACTGGACATAAAGTAACAAGCAGCGTGCAAAATCTGTCACTAACTCAAATTGGTTCATTAGGTGCTCGGCATATTTCGTACCTTGATACATACATTATGTGGTCTTAGCCAATACGTGCAGCACTCACCTGAGGCATTTGCAAAGCGTATTTTCGAAACTCCGGGGCCAAGGATAAGAAGTACATGATGATACATAAAGCCAAAACCCACTCGGCGGAAGCGCTGCAGATGAACTCTGTGTATCCCTGTAAACAAACACAAAATTGTGGTGCTTAATTCCACTGACAATTCTTCATCCCAAATCACGTATGATGCCGGACAGGTTCTCTGGGCTTTACCAGCATAAACTTGAGCTTTGCAATTAGCTTTACACGTCCTATAGCTGCTTCTTCATAATTTACTGCTCATAGGTGCAAGAACTCGCATACAAAGAAGATCGGTCTGTGGTCTACCGTGCTTGCTTTGTTAGACAAACCGTTAAGCGGCATGAGAGTTGCAGATAGAAACTGGGTGCTGCCTGCCCGAAAACACTGCACTCCTGTGAAGCTTTTCCCTGTTACTTCATCTCATCAGATAAAGATAGTAGACATTGAACCCGGGACTATTGGGATGTTATTTGTGACCGCTGCCCCTAAGCCACCTGGATGAGAGATACTTGTTGATTGTCTGCACCAAATTCATTTTACCGTTCTGCGCGATCCATGGTAGATCTTAGCTCTGCACACGGTGGCTGTACTGGAATCACATAATTTGACGGTCCCTAGGTAGTTACTGCAAGTTTGGTGGGCCTATTTTCGCTGTTCATGTTTGTTTATTTTTCTACAGTCGGTTCATATTTCTCAATATCATTTTTTAACTAACGTTACAAAACTACATAATGAATCACATGAAGTGCAGAAAGCGCTTCCGTGATTAGTATTTTGTGAATCATTAGCTGTTCGTAAATCGCTACCTGTGAACACTAATCTGTAGCTCTCTGGTCTAAAGCAGTATCCAATACTTAAGCTGCCTCTCAAATTTCCACTATGTTGATGTTCAAACCTATTTAAAAATAATCCAACTGTCTACTGGCACAGTTCGCAAACGTTCTAGGCTCTACTGCACTTGCACCGCCTAACATAGGTACATCCATTAAGTGTTCCTCGAGTAAGGGTCTAGTAAAATCGTGCGCTGCAGAATTTACAGTCTCATGTCAAGTCAAGTCAAGAATGTGCCCAGTGGTGTGACAACAACATAGCACAATGGCAACAAATATCCTGGATGACTCAAGCTGCGTCGCGTACGGCTTCGACAACCTAAATCGCAAACATTGTAGGCCGAAGTAAACCTGATCGGGATACCCGATGGCAATTGCCACGATTGTATGGAATCCCAGTTCCCACTTCGCAACAATTCGCTGAAGTGCACCTACTTGAATCTAGCTACTAGTAGATTAGGAGCTCGATCGCAGGGAACTGGTGTCTGCCGTTCATTAACACCTACAGGTGAAACATTATAAAGGTTTAATTAAATGTATATGCAAGGTATTAGTTAACTTGTGTTGTGTTCCATGATAATATATCCCATTTTACACCTTAAAGCGATAAGTAATGAAAATGTTGACTAGCGAACGAGATGCTACATATCTTGTCGATATTTGCAGCAAGAACATAAACACCTTGCATGTTGCGCAAGGATTAGTGTCGTTCACGTCACAGCAATATGCAATATAAATCTATGTTATTTTCCACATCTGGAACACAACAGCACCTGTGGCTACAAAACGCTGTCCTGCTCTTTGGACGTTAACTAACATCTGCGGGATTGCAGAGTTTCTGGTCATACATTCCACCGGCTATATGCTAAGCAAATGATGAATAATAACCAAGGCACCTATAAGAAGTTATAAACCCCATTCGGTGGTCTAGTAAGTTATAAAAACGCTATTGAGCAAAGGTAGATAGTAATTTTACTGTCAAACGAATGAACTTATTCATGTAAATGCAGTAGCCTTGCATTTAGCGTAATTTCACCATTCAAATAGGCGATATACACACAATAACAATAGAAAATAAAGCTAATTAACAAAGTGTAAGTGGCAGAGTGCGTCATCCAACCGACTTTAACTATGGCTAGCTGCAGTCGAACTTTTCGCTGAGCTTGGTGAGTTTGTTGCAAACGTTTCGTCACCAATCGAGCTGACATCATCAGTGCGTTGTTGAGTAGCGAGTAGCCAGTAGCGTAGCGTAGGTGCGGAAACGATTTACACAGGGAGAGCGTTTCATGGGCGATATACGTGGGCTGAGGATAAATTGCTACGGCATTCCAGGTGATTGTACTCTTCCGCTAATTTCAAGGAGTGACATCTCAAGTTAGAGTTATTGCTAAGCTACAGTATAGAGAGGCACACATGATGTGGGATGTTGGAATTCAAATATGAAATTATCAGGTCGCCTCGTAATTGGCCATGACTTTCATTGAGTAATCCCAAACGTTTCAGCCTCTGCTCGTAAGATATATTGCGTATTCCACTGATATATTTGTAGGCCCGATTTTGAGGTTCGTCCATTGCTGTTGGGTCGTCATTCAGGCATGGCTGCCAGCGTTGTATTGAGCATTCCACATGCACTCGAGTATGTTAATTGAGCAGCAGTCGGAAAACAGAGAAGTATATTTGTCCGAATGCCCGTCTCAACAGACCGACGTGATCGGTTTCAACCTTCGATACCTTATATGATTGCGTGGAACAAGCCAAGTCATCCTAATCCAGCACGCTCAGATCGCGTTGGGCGTTTCTTGCCGTTAGAAGCAGTTAACTTGGTGTCGTAGGGAGAGTACCTCGCATTCGTTCATTTTGAACTTCAGAATATTTTGGGCCAAATTTTGACGTATAATGTTTAGGTGTGGTGGCGCAACCGACGCCTTCATCCCACGACTGCACGAAGGACTCAGAAAGTTAGCCGAGATAGACTGGCATACATTAAATCCCACTTACTTATGTAGTTTTTCAAAGCTCTTCTAGGGAAGCCACAAAAACGCATTCCAGTCAACCAAACAGCAGGAAAACGCCAAGTGCAACAAGCAGAGGAGCGGCGGCGGAATGAACAACAAATCAGATATGTCCTTGGAAATGACACCATGGGACCCATAAAGTGAACATCCATTCATAATGATGGGTACTCGATATTCAGAATAAGCAAAGTGCATGTTTACACGAAGGTTACAAAACAGACAATAGTAAACAGTGCAAACCCGGAAATTAAGAACTACTTCAAAAGCTATAACAATTAAATATTCCCTTGGGGGAGGAAAAACCAAAGAAAAATGTTATTAGCAGTGCTGCTGATAAAAATGACATGTACGTTGCCCATTCATTACTAACCACGTACGTTTTCCAATCGAACTAAAAGATGTTGAGCGTTTAAACAACTGTCAAGAGGCAGCCGATAAGAAGAAAGAAAAACTGCAACCAAGACCGTTCACAAAATTAAATGTCTACTGGATATTCCCTAATCATTAGGTCACACTGAAGCAACTTCTGCTCTGGATCCACCTGAATCATGCACTAAAGCTTGTTGTCTTTAACAAACAATAGGAAACTATAACCGATTACTGGTGTAAGATGATTAATAATTACCAAAGGTAATCGTGGTCTTAGAGAGGGGCTCTAAAACACGCCATCCTCAACGTATTTCCGGTCAGATAAAGAGCTCCGAACTCTGCCTTTTAATTATTGTTGAAGAAGTAAGTTGTCGTTCTAGCTCAAGAGTGGGTCAATGATGCCGAAATACTGAGGCTTAGAAAGGAGAAGCCGATTATCTAGACGACTGAATGCATTTGAAATCAACCTCTTGTCTAGTGTCAGCTGCCTCAGTCCTACTACTCTGTGCGATTAGTAAATTCGTTGCGAACGACCGCTGTGGACGGAAGCCGTGTTGCTCAGGAGCAATAATGTTGCAGTTTTCCAGATAAAACACCAACGCATCAGCAACGATGGACTGCATGATCTTGGGCGGCAGTTTGAAGGCTCAGTAGTACTTCGCCTTTGTGAATCGGTTATTAAGCCAAACTTGCACATGGCGGTAATCCGGTTCTGGTGTAACCAACGCTGAAAGAACAGAGCCAAAACTTTTGCTAGTTAGATCGCTGCAGCGCCACGTGCTTCTGAGCAAATTGTATCAACACCCGGAACCTGTGGTTGCATCGAGACGTCAAACTTTGCAAGACGGCTTCAGTGGTAAGAGGGATGTAGTTGAGTTACAGCTGCTGAGCAGAAAATGCTGGGGGATCGCGTGATGGTTTGACCCCATGAAAAGTGGGAGCATATTGCCTCCGCGGCGATTTTGCTGGTTCTGTAGCGGTTTTTGCTGGACTATCAGCTGTCTGGAGCGGTGGAATTACCTTCTCTACATTACCAAGGTCACTGATGTGAGTGTACCGCAGCTTGTGGTTAGCGATGAAAGGTATCAGCATGTTCTGCTGCCATGTAGATTTGTCATCTCCGAGCAATTGTGTGCGTTGCTAACGTTGGGCTACATAGTCGTCCCAAATATCCGGCCTCCGAGGTGACTATACTCGCGCCATGCTGCGTTGCTTGCTGTCATTCATTTTTGAGTTCGGATCCATACGAAAGAGACCCATGTGGTCTCATTACAAGTTCATGTACCTAAGAGTATCCGTAATCAATCGATTGCATTTGATGAGGAATTTCTGTCAAGTGACTTCCCGTGGGTCTTCGGCGAGGAACGATCTGGTTGTGACACTGATAATCTGGGCTAAGCGGTCGTGGCGTGCTGCTGCGCGCACCACCTAATAGTTTCCATCTCGGTATACCGCATAGCAGGTAAAGTTGAAATTGATGACTACTTGATCACTACTAGCCAAAGGGCAATTACCAACCAACACACCATTCATATGTTCCTCGTTGGTGAACACAAGATGCAACACAGATGGTCTACTACCTGTTCTGAACCGAGTGGGAGAAATGTCGTAATTGTAACGCGGAAGATTTGGCTACGAGCTCCTGAAAATCGGCTTTGTGTTGTTCTCTGATTGAGACAGTGTTTGCTAAACAATGTACGTTGAAGTCACCCAGGATCAAGAAGTGAGAGTATTTTCCATTCGTAGTGCATCTTTCGGCATTTCGCGAGATGGAATTCTATTTCGGTTTAGAATCTGGTGGGCGGCACTCCACAGTTATAAGGTAAGTGTCCCTGCTTTCTAATTGCAGGCGGCATCATAGAGAATCGGGGAACTGCGCGGCTGA